TATTCCCTAATGAGAGCAATCAATACATTTATAAAGGGAGGGAGGGAGAGAGGGAGGGAGGGAGGGAGGGAGGGACGGAGGGAGGGAGGGAGGGATCAGCAGGCACTGATGGTGTGCCAGGGACAGGCTGATGGTGAAGCCCCACGCTGCTGGGGATGCACTGTGGTGCTGCCAGGCTGGCTAGCTCAGCTCAGTGTGGCCCCTTCCAGCCAAAGGGGTAGAAAGGTTTTCTCAGGAAAAAAAACCCAGGCAGGGGTCACACATCCTTGTCCAGCCAGCTCTGCCAAGCCTCTCCCAGAGCCAGGATCCCAGTCTGGGAGCAGGAAGGGATTATGGACACAGACGCCCGTACTTCGGGGTGTGAGAGGTGCTCGAGAAGCAGCAGCACAACCAGCCCTGCCCCGTGGCATGGGGGATGGGGGATGGCTGAGGTTCACTGGGGGGACACCAGCACGGCCCCCCTTGCTATGCCCTGGCACATGAAGCCACTGGCACGGCCCTGCTGCTCCCTGCTCTGCTCCCCAGCAGCACTGCTGGCACACAGCCGTGTCCCTGGAACACACAGTCCATTCTGGAGTGGGAGTGCAGCTTGTCCAGGTGGTCGCAGCAAACAGGCCCTGGGAGGCGGACAGCAAAGTGTGGGTGTGAGTGCTGCTGGATGTGCTCCAGTCCTCAGGGCTTCTCCTGTCCAGTCTGCATAAATCCCCAGGAAACCAGCCCCACTGAACTCCCCAGAGAGCCACAGCCCCTCCTCAAAACCCAGAGTGCGTGGGACAGGCTGCAGTAGCATGGATTAGAGAGGGACAGGACGGGACGGGACGGGATGGGATTCTCTGGCTTTTTACAAGGGGCTGCCATACCTCCATGCTCCTGTATCCTCTGGAGAACAGCTATCTCTCTGGGGTTCCTGGTGTTTCCATTCAGAGAGGGAAGGCTGGCAGTTTCTTCTGTCCCAGCCTGGCACTGGTCATACTCCAGCTGTACCAGAGAGGGTGGCATGTCCTTCCCACTTGGCAGCAAGAGGTGGATGTGGGAGTGTGGAGGTGTGGCAGCCCACACCTGGGTGGCAGAGAGGGGTGCGAGACTAATGGAAGTCCCATTATCCATTCCTCTCCCACTGTTCCAGCTCTTTTTGAAAGGTTTTCAGTTTCCTAGAGGTGGGACAGCCAGCTCTGCCTGCAACAGATCACAGGGTGCATGCAGAATTAGGCATTTACGTATGTGTGTGGGGTTTATATGGAAAACACCGAAATGGGAAACAAGGGATTGTTTCCAGAGCCGGGGTGACCCTGTGGCTCAGCTGCCAAGGGCTCCCGAGAGGTGCAGTGCAGGAACACAGCACCACCACCTTCAGAGGGACCAGGGAGGGCTGGGGGACTCCACACTGAACCACAGTGAACGACACATCCTTGTTTATGGGTGCTTTTAATTGATAAAAACACGTTGTGGCCAGAACTGTGCACTTTGTTTTGTAAATAAATCCTCTCTGGGGGTCTCCATCTCTCTGGTGCCACTGACCCAGAGCTTGGAGATCGCTGAAGTGTCTGAGGGAGAGACTCCACCACATCCACTGGGACCGGGAAGCAGGAATGGGAAAACCCCAGCAGGATGAGCCTGGAGGCATTGCACTGGAGAGCAGAGGTACTCCCGACTCTAATCCATACTGATCAGGGAGGCAGATTAAGGTGTCAGCTCAAATGATACCCAGCTCAGCTGTATAAAACAAACTTTCAAGCAATTATTAAAAAAGAAAAGCAATTCTGCTAGCATAATCTGACAGCATGCTGATGGTACATCACGATAAAGGGAAATCCCAGCTGAAGCAGCAGAATGAATCCCACGTGGAGCAATATTCTGGCGTCTATACCTCAAACTCCATGTTCCCTCTGCCCACAAATGTGTCATCTTTACCTGTCTGCCTCTGTGCTCATTCCAAAGGCAGCAGAGCTGTCAAGCTCACGGCTCCCTTGGGCTCCTCTGCCCCGTACCTGCAGCCACAGAATGTGCTCGAATCAGGACTCCAGACAATTCAAATCTGGGTTAATTAACGAGCAGAGTCGGTTCAGTGCAGTGAGAGGTGGCAGCTGACCCATCCCTAGGCTCTGGGACGCCCCAAAGCTGCCACCAGAGGCTGTGGGGGGAATTCACACCAGAACAGCTCCCGGCGTTGTGGTGTGTAAGAATGTCCGTACCTGAACACGCAGGTGTGTGCACGCAGACCTGTGTGTGAGCACCGATGTGAACACGCATGTGGATATCGCAGCACCACTGAATCCATTAGGCTGCACAACTCTGACATCACTGACTCCCACCTTGTCCCCAGCCCAGAGCCCTGAGTGCCACATCCAGGAATTCCCTGGACACCTCCAGGGATGGGCACTGCAACCCTCCCTGGGCAGTTCCAGGGCCTGAGCTCCCTTTCCATGGGGAAATTCCTGCTGCTGTCCCCCCTGAGCCTCCCCTGGCACAGCCTGAGGCCGTTCCCTCTCCTCCTGTCCCTGTTCCCTGGGATAACATCCCAAATCCCCCCGGCTGTCCCCTCCTGCCAGGGACTTGTGCAGAGCCAGAAGGGCCCCCTGAGCCTCCTTTTCCTGTGCGGGAATGTCCACATGTCCGTGTACGGGCGGACACGCGGCTGCGGGGATTCCGTCCGTCCTGATCGACAGACAGACACGGACACACCTGCGCGCTCAGGGGCGGGGCCGGGGCGGGGCCGGGGCGGGGCCGGGGCGGGGCCTATCCCGGGGCCCGGCTGTTCCGGTCCGTCCCGCACTGTTCCGGGCTGTTCCGGGCTGATCGCGGCCGATCGCGGCTGCCGGGGCGCTGGCGGGCGCACGGGCGGCGGCAGCGGCCATGTCGGTGTTCGTGACACGGCGGATCCCGCCCGAGGGGCTGCGGGTGCTGTCCCAGGCCAGCGGGTGAGCGCGGGCGCTGCAGGTCCCAGTGAAGGTGCCAGCTCGGGTCCCGGTGCCGGTCCGGGTGCGGGTTCTATAGTGCGGGTCCCGGTGCCGGTCCCGGTGCGGGTTCTATAGTGCGGGTCCCGGTGCTGGTTCTATAGTGCGGGTGCCGGTGCCGGTCCCGGTGCGGGTCCCGGTGCGGGTCCCGGTGCGGGTCC